CTCTCTCTCTCTCTCTCTCTCACTCACTCACTCTCTCTCACTCACTCTCTCTCACTCACTCTCACCTGACCATGGTGGCGGTAGTCTCCTATCATTAAGCACGTGCAATGGCGCCGCGGAATACAGCCTAACCCACGGCACGCCGGCATCGGTGAGCGCCGGGCAACCAATATAAGAGTCACTGACTATCACATCGGGCCGAACCCTATCCACAATAGCCCTGTACTCGGACTCCCTGTCCATACAGAGTCGGCACAATCTTTCAAAGCCAGCGATCAGGAACTGTTCGGCCACACCAATCGGGCTCAGTTTAAACAGGTGGCTGTTGGCGGTCAAGTAGTCGGTCATGGGGTCGACCACCGGCTCCGGTAGGGGCTCAGCAGGGGGTTGGGTGGTGTAGATCTCCTCATCAAACCCATAGCGTTTAAGTTTGCCCTTAAACTCCTTGTCTATGGCAAAAACGCACCGGTGGTTTGACCCCCGGCTGGCCAGACTCTGGGCCAGTCCCATACAAGCGTTTATGTGACCATGGTACTCCATGGGCGCGAATAGCACGGTCAGTTTTGCTTCGGTAGCGGTGGTTGTTTTGGTTGCCATAGTTAAGTAATGTTGTATTTCATAACAAATGCAATACTTGTTTTGAGTGTAAACAAAGTTAAGGAAACTATTGCATTGATTTTATCATTTTAGTTTTTTGAATTGTATTAATACATGCGCAAACAACTAATTTAATGTGTGCGTGTTCTTTATATCACAGTATCTGTTTTTGAATCTGTTTATTTAATTATTAAGTACAGACAACACTCGCTATTATGCACTATTTTAACTACAGCACAATATATAAAACTTATATTAAATTATAAAAATTACATTACTATTACTAAATATTGTATAACTTATAAAAGTTAAAATATTTAATATTCAAATCTCTTACATATCTAATAATTATTATAACATTTTAATTACATAAATTATAATAAAACTTAATATCTATATATTCTTAAAAATTTTGTTATTAATAAATTGTAGTTTAATTAAAGTAATAACAATTTATTGTTTAAATCCATCACAACTTAAAAATAAAATCCAAGCGTCGAGCGACAGTCGGGCGCACTCGAGAGCTGTGGCCAAGTCTTGGATCAGATCCTCGACGTCTTCGATGCCGACCGATAGGCGAAACATTTGTTCGTCAACTCCCAAAGCCTTGAGTGCATTGTCGGGCAGATCCCGGAGCGCCCATATGTTGGACACCACTCCACCCAAACTACACGCGTTTCGCACGTATTTCAGGCTCAGGAGGAATGCCTTCGCCTCAGCGGCCGTTCCCTTCAATCGGAACAATATCTATGCGTTTGTGTGATAAGTGGTTAGTGTTTAGGATCTGATGCCACGATAGGCCCGCACATACATACCATTCCGCTAAAGCCCCGGCACTGTCTGTGGGCCAACTCGTACTGCGGGTGAGACTCGAGGCCCGGATGCAGGACTTGAGTGATCATAGGATGTGATTCTAGGAATCGGGCGACGGATAAACCGTTGCTTTGGTGGACAGCCATACGGAGGCTCAGAGTCTTGAGGCCCCGATTGGCGAGAAAGCAGTCAAACGGTGAGCTAACGGTTCCCACGGCTTTGAGTATAAAGAGATCAGTTAGTGATAATTGGATAAACTTCTCGGTAATAATAAAACTTACTATTTTGGAGTCCCGACAGTTTTGTGTACAGATCCTCCCGATTGGTCATAATTGCGCCCATAGTTACGTCTGAATGGCCTGTAATGTTAAGGGAAAGGGTTGTCAGACTCTGACAGTCAGAGTGACTGTTGTGTGACATAACAGTAGATAACAAACCGTTGATATATTTGGTGACCGAATGTAAGGACAGATCGGCGCCGAAGTCTAGCGGCCGAAAACACAGTGGACTCATGAAAGTGTTATCCACACCGATAATGGCCTTCGGGGCCAATCGGTCCCTGAGTTCGCACAGGGCTTTCAGGTCCACGAGTTTCATACGTGGGTTGGAGAGGGCCTCCACCCACACGAGCCGTGTGTTGGGCCGCAGTTTGTCGGCCACTGCCGCCAAATCGGTAAAGTCGGCGAACTGGACGTCATAGCCCTGAGGGCGCAGACATTGGGTGAAATACCGGTGACTACAGCCGTATATACTGTCGGATGAGAGCACATAATCGCCGGCCGACAATAGGTTTCCGACGGTGACGATAGCGCCCATACCTGAGCCAAAGGCCAACGCGTGTCGGGCGCTCTCCAGTGCGGCCAACGCTGTCTCCAGGCATTTGCGGGTCGGGTTTCCCGATCGGGAGTAATTCCACTCCTGTTAGGTTAGAGTGGGTGAGTGAGTGAGTGAGAGAGAGAGAGAGAGAGAGAG